TAATTTCATACTCACATTCTAATAATTTTATTTATATATGATTTATTAGTTTATTAGTATAGTTTCGCTAATTTGCATGTTATTAGTGAAGTTCTGCTTGATTTGTACTTACGTACTAATAATTTAATATATAAATAATTTATTAGTAAAGTTTTTTATTTAAAAATTTTAAAAAGATTTAATTTCTAAAGTAATTTATACTCACGCACTAGTAATTTAATTATAACTTATTAATAAAGTTTAAATTTTAAAGTTTTTGATTTGTAAATTGATTTCATACTCACCTCCTAATAGTTTAAATTTACGTATAATTTATTAGTGAAGTTTTGTTTAATTTTGAGTTGTTTAATTTTAATTTAATTTCATACTTACGATCTGGTAATTTAATTTTGTATAAATTATTAATGAAGTTTCGTTTAATTTTTAATTTATTTATAATTTCATACTTACTTTCTAATGATTTAATTTATTATTCATTTGTAAATTTATATTTAATTTAAAGTTTTAATTTTCAGTATAAATTAATCTCGCACTCACCCCCTAATAATTTAATTTATAATTATTAGTAAAGTTTTGTTTAAAGTTTTAATTTATAAATTAATTTATACTCACTTCCTAAAAATTTAATTCATATATAATTTATTATAAAGGCTTGTTTAAAAAGATTATTTTATTGTATAAATTAATTTTATACTCACTCCCTAATAATTTATTTTAAAAATATAATTAATTAGTAAAACCTTGTTTAAAGTTTTATTTATAAATTATAAAACTAATTTAAACTCACTTTCTAATAATTTAATAATTTATTTGTAATGTTTCTTAATTTTAAGTTTTTAATTTACAGTATAAATTAATCTCATACTCACATCCTAATAATTTGATTATATAATTTGTTAGATATATAATTAATTTGCTTAATTTTAAAAGCTTTCAATTAGCTGTATAAATTAATTTTATACTTACGCACTAATAATTTTAGTTTATGATTTATTAGCGAAGTTTGTTTGTTTCAGTATAAATTAGTTTCATACTCACATACTAATAATTATATATATATAACTTATTAGTAAAAGTTTGTATAAGTTTTAATTTATAAATTATCTTTATACTTACAGCCTATTAATTTATGTATAATTTATTTATAAAGTTTGTTTAATTTTAAGTTTTAATTTACTGTATAATTAATTTATACTTACGTACTAACAATTTAATTTGTATCAAAATTAAAAGTTTGTTTAATTTGAAAAAATTTAATTTACTATATAAATTAATTTTATACTCACGTACTAATAATTTAATATATATATAATTTATTAGCAAAGTTTTGGTTAATTTTAAAAGTTTTAATTTACCGGTATGAATTAATTTTATACTTACTCCCTAGTATAATTTATATATAACTTAGTGAAGATTTGTTTGAGTTTTGATTTATAACTTAATTTCATACTTACAATCTAATAATTTAATTTATATATAAAATTATTAGTGAAGCTTTGTTTAAGTTTTTAACTTTGTAAATCAATTTAATACTTACCGCCTAATAATTTAATTATAATTTAGTGGAGTTTAAGATTTAATTTATAAATAAATTTTATACTCACGTACTAATAATTTAATTTATTTATAATTTATTAGCAAAGTTTTGTTTAATTTTGAAGTCGTTAATTTTATTATAAATTAATTTTATTAAATTTATACTCACACACTAATAATTTAATTTATGTATATTTTTTATTAGTAAAATTATATAATTTTAAGTTTTATTTAGAACATAAAGCAATTTTATACTCACTCCCTAAAAATTTAATTTATATATAATTTCTTAGCAAAGTTTTGTTTAACTTTAAAGTCTTAATTTATTATAAATTGGTTTTATACTCACGCACTAATAATTTAATTTATATATAATTTTTATTAGTAAAATTAAGTTTTTAATTTAGAATATAACTAATTTCATACTCACTTCCTAATGATTTAATTTATGTACAATTTATTAGTAATATTATAATTTTAAAATTTTTTAAATTTGCTGTATAAATTAATTATATACATACCTCCTAATAATTAGTTATATATAATTTATTAGTGAAGGATTGTTTAATCTTAAGGTTAATTTATAAATTTATTTCATACTCACAAACTAATAATTTATTAATTTATTAGTGATTTGTTTAATTTTAGATAAAATTGTAATTTATAACTTATACTCACGCACTAATAATTTGATTATATATAATTCGTAAAGTTTTATTAATTCTAAATAGTTTTTTTTTTAATTTACGGAATAAAATGATTTTATACTCACGTACTAATATATATACAATTTATTAGAAAAGTTTAATTTCAAAATTTTTAATTTACAGCATAAATTAATTTTATACTCACGGTCTAATAATTAATTTATATATAATTATTGGTAAAGTTTCGTTTAATTTTGAGTTTCTTAATTTAAGACTTATTTTATACTCACGGACTGATAATTTAATTCATATATATTTTATTAGTGTAGTTTTGTCGAATTTTAAAACAGTTTTCAATTTTAAGATTTTATACTCACGCACTAATAATTCAATTTATATATAATCTATTAATAAAATTTTGTTTAATTGAGTTTCTTAATTTATAAATTAATTTCATACACACAGCCTGATAATTCAATTTATATAATTTATTAGTGAAGTTTCGTTTAATTTAGAGAGTCTTAATTTAAAATTAATTATACTCACAGACTGATAATATAAATTTATATATTATTTTATTAGTGACGTTTTAAAGTTTTTAATTTACAGTATAAATTAATTTTATACCCACTCTCTAATATATGTATATAGTTAGAGAAATATCATTTAATTGTAGATTGTAATTAATTCATGTATAATTAAATATCCTTATTTATCACAAATTAACATGAAACTATACTTTTTTCAAATCCCTAACGGACATAGTAAAGGCAGGGTTGATGATACTGATAAAAGCCAAAACAGCAAGAATAAAAGTTAAATAGAATTTTGACAACATTTTGAAGACGATTGTTATTTTTTTGAAAGACGATTGTTGTATTTTGTTTTCAAGAAAAAACCTAATGGAAAGCAGATGAAGAGGAAAAATACTAGCAATTTATAATTTTTCAGATATGCTTATGACTTATTTACATGATTAATATGGCTATGAAACTTGCCAAATTATTTGGCGTAAACACTGTAAACTGTAATGCAATTTTAACAGACTAATGTATTTGTCGTAATTTCTTATTGTCGTATTGCCGAAATATTGTCTCATGCTGTAAAATAAATGACTAAGACTTATTGAAAAAAGGGGCGCAATGAAAATACTGGGAAGAGGCGCAATGAAAATATTGAAAAGGTGCATGAGAGATTGTGCAAAATAAAAGGTTAGGAAGAGGCAAAATACAAATATTGGTGAGGGGCAATGAAATTATTGTAAAATAAAAGATTAAGACTTATTGAAAGAGCACGATAAAAATATCAGGAATTAGGGTTGAAAATTACTACAATCTTACATTTCATGTAATTATGCGTAAGTTTCAATAAGGCTGTTCTAATTTGATTATATGTTTAACATAACCACTAATAAATGATCTGTAACTCTATATAGGGGAGTGGGGTAAAAAAACATGAGATTTTAATTGGATAAAAAAAAGTTTTTTAAACAGTTAATATGATTTTATATTAAGTGATGTTTATTACCCCCTCTATTTGAGGCTCAAAAAGCGGGAATTATGTTTAACTTGATGTGGCCTAACTAGTTATATGATACTCGGATTTTTTTTTGCGTACAGTACATAGTAGGATTTTTTTTATCCCATAGTTTCGGAATATTTCGTATTACTTTTGGAATATTTAGGAACCTATAAATGTTATGCCCTAAACTTCAGAACTTATAAAATGACTGTTAAAGTACAGTACGTACAGCATGTACAGTACAGTGCGTGGCAAATCACTAGGCCCAAAATAGATTACATGTAAATTTCACACGTGATATAAAGTACTAGCATTATGAAAAACTCAGCAAGCATAATAGACTTTTGCACAAAGGTTACTTATCAAAATCGATGATATATGATTCAACTAATCACATGAAATCATGTGATAGTATGATACAATTCTTACAAATTACAGCATGTTATAAATGTGTACGGCGAAGACTAAATTCTTAAAATTCGTTAAGAGTTTATATAGTAAAATTGTTCAATGAAAACTTTTTGTTAGAGCATAAAAGTGGTTTCCCATGCTGATTTTTGCGCTATGAGCAATTTTTGCCAGAACGAACGTTTGTTTTTGATCGTGTTACATTACACCTAATGAAATCTGATTCGTAGTTCAGGAGATCTGCGCCACCAACCTTGTACGTACACGTTTAAAAACTATCAGACCTAGCATCGCCCATAGAAAAAATACATCTGACGTCACATTTTATATAGTATTTATATTTATTATGTATTCTTAATACACGAACCGTTTAGTAAATTTAAAATTATATTATTTCAAGATATTTTAACTACAATATACGTCAGCGATATTTATGGGTTATGTTAGGTTTTCTCATATAGGAAGACTTTCGTAGGGTTGGCTGTTTAAATCAATTTACATTATTTATACAGTTTAAAATACTTTTTTAAAAAAATAAAACTACGAAGAATAAACAAAAAAAGAAGCATAGAAAATGTTTTATTAGGGTTGTAGGATTCAACCATTAAAAATAATCAAAATCATTTCTTGTTTTAGAGGAGTTAGCATAATAGCGACTTCTTAAATATAGATAGAATTAGATTGTTACAATGCTAACTTCTAAAACAAAAAGGGATTTAAATTATTATTAATAGTGGAACCCTATAACCCTAATAAACTTTCCATATACTTCTTTTTTGTTTATTATTCGCAGTTTTATTTTTTTTTAAAAAAAATACTTTAAACTGTATAAATAATGTAAAATTAAATTGATTTAAACAGCCAATCATACGAAAGTCTTCCTAGGGTATGAAAACTACCAGCCCTCCGCATGGGCTTGGACTACCCATGGGTATACTTGTTGACCAAATCTCAAACTATTATAGTTTGGTTTGTCCGCGCCCAAATTCCAAACCCAAGCCCAAACTAATATCTTAAAAATTTTATTAATAATATTTATTTAAACAAATGATATATATTTTTATAACTATATACAAAATATTTATAAAATATCAAAATTATTTTGTTGACTTAATTTTTTATAAATGCAATTTGTTTTTTTTGTGTTTGGGATTTGTCCGTGTTTTGCCAGCAAGTATACCCACAAGGAGCAGGCTAGGGCATTGAATCCCAGGCCTTAGGGTAAGGGAAAAGCTCAAGTCATTGAGCCCTTACACAGTTGGGTAGGGTACCCGCGGGCATGTTTTATGTGAATATCAGTTCATATGATGAGCTAATTTTCATCAGCCCATACCTGATACCAATCAAATTACAAAATTAATCAAAGAATTTTAATACATGAAATATTTACTTTTATTCGAGATAACTTGGTGCATTAACATAAACATTCATTAATCTAAGTTTTTAAAGCAAGAACATTTATTAATCTAAGAATTTAAATAAGCTATTCGAATATTTATAATTTAGGTTGTGTATAAGCTATCGTATATAAAAGATATTTATTAATTTTAGTGTTTAAATAAATAAGACTTTTCAAGTGCATAAATATAATTTTATTTACTATATGAGCACGAAGAACGATTATTAGTCTAAGTTTTCAAAATAAGTTATTCAAGTTTATTTCTTAATTTCATTTTATTCGTGATAATTAAGCATGAGTATATAAAATATTTATTATAAGTATTTAAAATAAAATATTAGAATGGGCAGAGATTGACAAGATTGATGATTATATGAAAAATCCAGATGAACGTATGTTTAAATAGATATACTAAATTAAAAAAATGATGGAAATTTTTTATTATTCTACACTATATTCGCTCTGATTTTATGCCACAACTTATCGGGTCAGCCAGGACGAAAGTCCTCTATAAAAGCCTATTCTACTTTAGCTACCTTTTCGGTCTCCTACCACTTATACTGAGTCCATGAGTACCCACGGATACTCATGGATTTTGCGAGCCGGGCTGGAGCAACAAGACCTAGAGTAAGTGTAAAGGCTCAAAAGTCAAGTCCTTAGGCAAAGGGCTAAAGTCAGGACCTAGCTCTACCCGGCCCATGCGAAGGTATAAAAACTACTTTACCGAAACTTACATTATGTTTATAACCTTAATTAAGAAGGAGCACAATAAATCGATTAACAGAGACGAAATAAAACATTGGTGAGAGGGCGCATGAGAGATCGGGCACAATAATAAGAATTGGTGGAGGCGCAATGAAAATATTGGGATGAGGACTGTCTCTCGTGCTGTAAAATAAAAGATTAAGACTTATTGAAAGAGCACAATAAATTTTAGGAAGATACACAAAGCAGAGGCACGATAAAATATTTAGAAATGTTATTGACTTTACTTAAAGCCAGCTTTAGCTACAATTTGAAGCTAAGCTAAAGCCAAGCCAAGCCAATAGCCTAAAGCTATAGTATGAGCCAAAATTAAAAACTACTTAAAGTTATAAAAAAATAATTATTGGTTGATTGAACCATGGCTTAGTCATAGCTTGACTATAGGTTCTTTAAGCTTAGCTAAGCCATCCAAGCCATCAATATCCTTAAAAATATTAGGAAAAGGCGAAATAAAACATTGGTGAGGGGGAAGCAATGAAAATATTGAAAGGTGTATGAAGATTAGGCTCAATAAAAGATTAGAAAGAGGCGAAATGTTAACATTGATGAGAGAGTGCAATGAAAATATTGGAAGAGGTGCACTGAAAGTATTGGTAAAGGCGCATGAGAGATTGGGCACAATAAAAAATTAGGAAAAGGCGAAATGAAAACATTGGCTAGGAGACGCAATGGGAGATTTGGTACAATGAAAGAATAGGAAGAGGCAAAATTAAACATTAGTGAGAAGTGTAATGAAAATACAGTCAACTCTCTAAGTACAACTAGGGATGGGTTTGGTCACGAACGGTCACAATCATTCATAGTCAATTTGCCAAATACTGAGATGATTTTTCACTTTTGAGCTTTTAATTAAAGTTGTTCAGAATTAAATTCTGAACAACTTTAATTAAAAGCTCAAAAGTGAAAAATCATCTCAGTATTTGGCAAATTGACTATGAATGATTGTGACCGTTCGTGACCGAACCCATCCCTAAGTGCAACCTAATTGAAACTTTTCTTTAACGCAACTTTAAATTCTGGCCAAGTATAAACAGGAGGAAACGTACCCGATCCAAAGTGAATCCCATACACGGTGTGATCAATTAAAACTAAAATTATTTATTTTAGTTTTAATTGATCACACTGTGTGTGGGATTCACTTATCTTTGATCTTTATAAATACAAATTTTTTTTTGATTGATCTCTAAATGCACTTATTGAGATCTGACTATATAACTTACACTGTTGAAATTATGAACTTCCCATTATTGAGAGCAATTCTTGAATTGCTAGGTTTGTGGCGCAGACGAAATTTATTAATTTTGTTTATGTTAGGGTTAGCGACTGTAAAAGTTAGATAATTTTATAAGATAATTTTATAATGTGCTGTAAAAAATAATCGCACACGAAAAACTTTAATAGAGTACTATAGGTGGTGTCTTATGCATGTTTTTGAGAAATAAATGATGCTTGATAGAATGAACGTTTTTGAAATTTCCTTATCGTGCTATGTTAACAATAAATGATGCATGGCAATAGTAATTTATTATTACTAAAAAAATCTTCATTATTGATTCGGTTTCAATTAAGACATAAGCTACATATTTTTAACAAGTGGTACTAGAGCTGTAGTTACAAGTTTGCACTTTGCAGTAGGGTTGTTAATTAGGCTAATTGGACTAGACGAAACCTAGTTTTGACTTTCGGCAAAAACAAACAAAAATGGAGAAAATGGTAAAAGGTGACGAAACTGGTAAACGGTTGAAATAACAAACTTAATTGGTAAAAAGAACTAATAGGAGGACATTCGTTTGATTGGTTGATGTAAATCAATTACCTAGGTAACTTATTTATATACTTTAAAGCACTTTTTGGAAACAACGTTTCACCAATAAAAAATCACCGCAAAAAGCATTTTCGCTTCGATAGAATGTCTATATTTATCAGTAGTAATCAGTATCCCATGAACTTTACTTAGAAGACAATATATGTCTACCGTTTATTGGTTCAAACCAAATTATACTAACTGAAAACGTTTTCGTCTAAAACTATTTTATTAAGATTTAAATTAACGATTATTTCTAACTGTCAATTTGTGTAGGTGAAGCTCTTTAGTAGTAAATGATCTGGGCTTAAGATTAAATTTGGTCGGTTATTTTAGTGTGTTTGGGTTTGTCAACCGTAAATTAGTACTTAAGGTCTTGGGTTATATTTTATTTATTCTTTAATGTACTGTAATGAGTTGGGTTTATTAACAATAAATATCACACATTTACCCACTTTATATGCATCCATCTATTCTTTAAATATAAATAATATCCTTTTTTTTTGCGTATATTTATTGTCTGTAAGTTTCTTTATACGAAGATTTTTTTTCGTTTTTAGTACTGTAATATTAATTGAGAATTATGTATTTTGATTGGCGTCTTCCTATAAAATTTGACCCTGAAAAGATACTGATATCCCAGATGAGATAAGATAATAAATCTATAGAGTGTCACTATTTCCACCCCCAACTTTGCCAATGACACCCCTCGAGTTTCCGACCCTCTCCGACCCTCGTCTAACCAGCATAGCGGGCTTTAAATTTTATTGGATGATAAAACCGGAATGTTACACAATATGTTTTACATATTAGCGTAACGTTTCGCATTACAAAAATGGATTGGCAGCCACGGATACGAATTGGCAAAACCTGATACCAAAAAAAATCAAAACCTTCTGGTCTATGAACTATCAAAATAATTCGGTAATCCACGAAGTAATTCGGAAGTTAGATGAGAGTAACATCATTAAATTGCCATATAACTAGGGATGGGAAAATCGAGGATTTTTCGAATCTACTGCGCAGGCTGCGCAGCCTGCACGGGCCTGCATTACAGCT